AGGTAGTTCGAACTGCCTAGTTCGAACTACCTAGTTCGTGCCCCGTGTAGCCGCGCGGCACGGGGTTCGAACGAGCGGGGATTTAAAAATGGCGGAGCCCCGCTTATGCAAATGAAGCCCGGGAAATTCAAATCCCGGGCTTCATTTGCAATTGCGGTATGCCTACATTACCCTCCTATTTCGAATTAGGAGGGTAGTGTAGACAAACCCCAACTCTGGTGCCAACTCTGTCCACACATCTATACTAGCGACATCATCACACGACCTAACCAAATAAACTACCATATAAGAGGCTCATATAATTGCACATCCACCAATGTGATCTATGCCATCAAGTGCCAACAATGCCCCTCTGCCATGTATATTGGCCAAACTGGACAGTATCTATGACAAAGGATTAATGGACAGAAATTCAAAAAGGAAACAAACAAAAGCCTGTTGGGGAGCATTTTAATTTGCCCAGGAACTCATTAATGGATCTCAAAGTTTCCATATTATTATTACAAGCCAATTTCAAAAACCAGTTTGAAAGGAAAGCTGCAGAACTTAATTTCATTTACAAGTTTGACACCTTCAATAGAGGTTTAAACAAAGACCTTAACTAGATTACCCAGTACATTCCACATCCTAATGACATAAAAAACCAAGCATGGGATACTTAAGAGTACTTAGAACCCACACTATCAGCTTCATTTAGCATGGACACTCTAATTGACAATTTTTCTCCTCTTTTTCCCTCCCATCCCCTCTCTTTCACTGCTATTTATTTTGCAACCTGGACCCCTTAACTCCATTCATCTGAAGAAGTGGGTTGTGCCAATGAAAGCTCATGATACAATCTAAATTTTTTGCTAATCTCTAAGATGCCACAGGACTACTCGTTTTTAAAGTTACAGACTAACACTGCTACTCCTCTGAGACTTTTTACCAATTCACTTCAGGCATTCACACTCCATAAGACCAGTTGCTGCACCATGGGGTCTGCATATGTGGCCACACAACCACAGACACAGGCTGCCCCTGAAAGATGTTTTGCTACTGCCTGAATTTCCCAAGTGCTCTGATCAGAAGTTCTTTTGCCAGTGCAGTTCCCATGGCTACCCTCTGCCTTTAACATCTCTATGTTTCAAAGTGTTTGTGGGCAGAATCAAGTGGTACCAGCTCTGCGTGGCTCACACTACCTTCTTGATCACAAACTCCAGCTCCTGGGCCTGATAGGCAGGGTTCACAGACACCTAGAATGGGGAGAGAGAGACAGGAGAATTAATCAAGGCTCTGAAGAACCCTCAAAGACTTCATCTTCTAACTGCTTCCTCTAAGGCTACATCTAGACTACATCCCTCTGTCGGAAGAGAGATGTAAATTAGGCACTTCGAAAGTACAAATGAAGCCGAGATTTAAATATCCCACGCTTCATTTGCATAATCGCGTAATGGCGCTCTTTTGAAAAAGCACTATTTTGAAATTGAAACTGCAGTCTAGACGCGGTTCTTTTAAAAATAGAAGCCTTTTTTGAAAGATCCTGCAAACCTCATTTTTTGAGGAGTACAGGAGCTCTCAAAAAAGCCTGCCGTTTTCGAAAGAACCATGACTAGACTGTGGTTTCAATTTCGAAATAGTGCTTTTTTGAAAGAGCGATGTAGTCTAGACACAGCCTAAGAGAAAGTCTCAGAGGGGTCACCATGTTAGTCTCTATCTGCAAAAACAATGAGGAATCCTGAGGCACCTTGAAGACTGTAATAGTGCCTGGCCTATTAGCATAAACTCAAAAATAAAGGGCTTATCTTCACATAGGGTATATCTATACTTGCATCCTAGTTCAAACTAGGGATGCAAATGCAGACATTCGAAATAGTCAATGAAGCGGGGATTTAAAAATCCCGTGCTTCATTAGAATGATCTCGCAGGCACACTAGTTTGAATCATAGCTAATTTGAACGAGGAAGTGCGCGTCGGGATGCGTTAGTTCGAACCAAACCCCTTGGTTCGAACTAACGTTACTCCTCATTTTTTGAGGAGTAACGTTAGTTCGAACCAAGGGGTTTGGTTCGAACTAACGCATCCCGACGCGCACCTTCACTTGCAGAACAGCTGGCATTCGGAGTAATGTGCTGGTGAGATCATGCTAATGAAGCACGGGATATTTAAATGTAGACATACCCTGTGTCAGATGGAAAGTGTAGTCATACCCTTTGTCAGATGGTAATAAATCTGTTAGTCTTAAAGGTGCTACAGGACTCCTTGTTTTTTCTTAATGAAAACACATTTGCAGTTTCTTCCTTCTATAAAATAATGAGGATTAGGATAATAATCCAAATTTCATGTTTTCCAGAGATGCCCTTTTATCCCCATTTTTACAACTAGGGAAAACCAAGGCATAGAAGTTAAATGGTCAAACCACAAGCCAATAGCAAAGCTTAAAATAGAGTCCAAGCTCTCTGATTCCCATGCCCATGCTTAACCCATTACGCAATAGAAATCCACATTTCTAGGGACACGCTGAATCCTTTCTGGATAACACAAAGACTGAAAACTTCATTACTGCACCTAGCTCACCAGAGAAGCAGTTTTTACTACCAACGCTGAGTTATTAGATTGAGACTTTGGATAGCCCACTAAGCTAAACCCATCTATTTACCCTGCCTAATATATCTTTTGAGTGTCATTGCAGTGGGTGATGTTGTACAAAACTTCCAGGAAGACACCCAGCAAGTCTTATGATGTAAAAAAGTCAAAGCTCTGATGGTATGCTATTGGGTGATGACTGACTCTCAAGGTGGACTAGACATTTTAGTATCTTTATTTTTAAATGGACACTTTCTATGATGAATTTTCATCTAGAGGTGCTGCAGAAAGTATTAAAGGGGCATTTTAATTAAGGGTTGGTTGGTTGAGGGCACTGGGTCTATATATAAAAACATGTAGCCTCCCTATCCATTCCCTCACATCGCTAACAGTTATAATTTATGTCTCAGGGAAGCTGGTTTCCCACTGTCCTCTCACTGGTCTGGTGTTTTGCTTTTTTTTTTCCTGGGTAACAGAGGTTCAGAATGATGATGAATGATGGTTGAATGACACCTGCTCACATTCTTCCCTTTAGTTCCCTCAACCAGCACATTATTCAACGTCTCCAAGATATCCAGGCTTCCCCTTTGTCTCCCCTTCTCCTTAAAAAATTCAGATGCCCCGACAGACAAGTCTCCTTACCAGGATGATTCCTGCCTGAGCTGTTGCAAACTGCATGAGAGCCCATTCATACTTGTTGGGACCCCACATGCCCAGCCGGTCGCCCTTCTTCAGGCCAATAGCCAGAAGTCCAGCTGCTGCCTGGTCCACCTGCAAAACACACATGAAGCCAGGTAGGGAGAGACGTCCCTGCACAGGGCACATCAAGGCATTTTAATCTCTCCCAAGCTAACCTGAAGGCAGCTGAGCATCATTTTCATGCCCAGGGGAGGAAACTGAACTCAAGCATTATCCTGCACTAGCACAGTCTTGCAGCTTCTTGCTTGGCTGTTTGTTCAGCACAGGGTCAGTTCTATTCCCCTGGGCTGTTCATTTAATAAACAACGGTTCCTAGCAGAGGTACAAAGAACAGAACAGCCATACTTATCAGGCACAAACTCAGACCATGTGTGCAGGTGGGAATCTGGGATATTGAACCTACAAAGGTGAATTTCATTCCTGTGCAATCGAGGCCTACGTACCCTTTGGGTATGTCTGCACTACAGCATTATTTCAAAATATTTTATTTCTAAATAGTTAACTCAATATAAGTTATTTCAACATCTAGACACAAAATGCATTTTGAAATAGAGTTTTGCTATTTTGAAATAGCGCATCCACACTAATTGGACGCTGAATCGCATTTAAGGCTGGCTGGAACCGGTTCTGGCAGGGAAGCAGGTCAGGAGTTACCTTGGGTGGCTGCTGCCTGAGGCTATCTGAGGCCTGTGCTTAAAGGGTCCCTCCTGGACAGACAGTTCTCAGGTTTCCCTGCTTGCTTGCCTGCCTCAATGAGGGACAGAAAAGCATTTTGTCTCTGCATGCTCTGGTTGCCCTCACTCGGGACACCACAGCACTCTGCAACATGGCGCTAGAGCTGCCCCTGCGCACCCTGGTGTTTCTCTTGGACGCGTTGCTGCGAGCCTGACTGCACTGTCTGCAGGCTGCCATCCGGGGGCTGTCAGTATCCAGGAGAGCCTGCGGGAAAGCTTCCACCCTGAGGAGCACTAAGAGTCTCCCTGGTCTGTCCCACTGGGGCCTTGTGCCTCATTCCTCCCTCACGTCCTTCCACTTACCCCTCTCTAACCCCCCTTCCTGATGTCAAATAAAATACATGTATTTTCATGAACCCTCTGCTCTGGCCTTACAGAGCAGTCCCTGAAGATAAGGGGTAGGTGCCTACCCCTACCACACACATTAGATGATAAACCAACATGCAGCTTTCCTACGTATTCCAAGCCAGGATACAAACCCAAACCACATAAGCCCAACCTTGCTTTCAATCCAGGGATGGAACCGTTTTTTTTTTCATTTCTCCAGCTGACTGACCCACTCATACTGTGATTCAGCTGGATTGCAAATTCTCAAGGTGAGCTAAAGGACTGGATTCTACCAGACAAATCGGTCACTCACATCTTGCATGAATTGAGCAAATGTCTTTCGAACCCCATCTTGACAGAACACCAGGGCCTCGCGGTCTGGAAACCGATGGACTGTCTCCTCCAGGCACTGCCCCATGGTTTTGGTGAGCAGTGGAATGTGTGTTACCCCTCGGATGTAGCTGTTGGTTGCGATTGGAGTGGTGGGGGGTGAATCTATGTGCAGGGCACTGTAAAAGAAAGACCAGGATCAACAACAGCTGGGTCACCAAACCGGTCTTCCTTGCAATACCCAACCCACATGGCACTCCCTAAGCCATTGTCCCTCCTTCTTTTGGAGCCATCTTACACTGACATTGGCTTTGCTGCTCTACAACGTATGTAGAGAGGACACAGAGATCATGGACTTGAATCCCAACAGGCAGAAGTCCAGTCACTAGAGCAATTTTTAGGGTTGCCAGATGGTTTAACCAAAAATACTGAACCCTCCCCCCCAAAAGAAACCCACTGTTGAGAAAAAAAAAAGGGGGGGAGACCAAAGTTGTTGAGGGAAAAAAAAATACAAAAAAACCAGCATGGCCCCTTTAAAGCCTTTGGGGTTTTTTTTTGCTGGCGGCCACCTTGTTTTCTTACTCTGTGCAAGAAGAGAGCTCCCTTGCAGAACCAGGTAAGTGGGGAGGAGGGGAGGCTCGGGGGAGCTGAGGAGTGGGGCGGGGGCCGGGTCGGGTGGCTGGGCCCAGTTGCTGAGGGTGTGTCTAGACTACATGCCTCCTTCGACGGAGGCATGTAGATTAGCCAGATCGGAAG